CCCTAGGCCTCCCTCACCCTTGTGTCATCTTTGGTTCCCTTCGAATCTGCCCAGAAGTGTTTGGATTTAAGATCCAAGAATCTGAAACCCTAAAAAAATTCCAATCTTGGAATTTTTCCGATTCGAGTGAAGGATTGAGGGCTAAGAGACTTTAATCGAGGTATTCTCAACTAAGAATACTTCGAATAAAGTCTGTTCAACCTAAAAAATGTCCAAATTCAAGTTGAGTCTGTGTCTGAATAAATTTGAAGATTCAGAGGTATTTTTTCTATTTCTTTTGTTTATTCTACGTGTATTTTATGTTTGTTTCATTAGTCTGTGTAATTTTTCCATCTTTTATTGTTATACTGTCTCATACTCGTCTATATGATCAAAATATGAAATTGTTTCTGTTGGTTATGATTATTTACAATGTGAGTAATCGACTCGATTAAGTTCGTCGATTAGTTATATTATGAATTCTCGTTTATGATAATACTGATTGAAACAACCTGTTTCTATTTTTATGGACTGTTTGTTGACAGATGTTGTAGATAATCATTTTAATTAATACTCGTCAGTTAAATCATCCTGGTTTATATGAATCTGTCAAAATAAGTGTTGTATATATGTTATTGTCTGAACATTAAGTTTCAGGGCATTGTCAATATATTGACAATGCTCCTGTGTTTGTTTGATTTTAGTTCAAAGTTGAAGTTCAGTATAATTTGTTATGTTGAAATTCAGTATAATGTTGTTGAGATGTTGAGTTGAATTCAAGTTTACAAGGGTTGGGTGAATACAATTGTATTAGGAGGTTAATCATAGGATTGGTTATAGCTGCTTGAACAGATTTTAAAATCTGTTTGGTATCAGATTCTGATTTTTAGTTTAAAGACAGTAATAACAGTAGGATTTCAGGGCATTTATGGGAATGAAACAGTAAAAAATAGTGTTAGTGCTAGTGTGCTGGAAGTGGAATGTTAGTGGCTATTAATCTAATAGGATAATAGGAAACCAAAGGAAGTGGAGGAGCTGAAAATAAAGTAAAGGTATCCTTAGTGCTGTTTGAATAAGAAAAAGCAGTTCAGTGGCAAATTTTAAGGGAAAATCTGCCTTAGATAACAAAAGGGGGGTCCAGGCAGCACTTAAAAAGAAAGGGGCAGACCTGTATAAATACAGGAAGCAGGACAGATTTTAGAGGACAGATTTTGAGAGAGATTTTAAGAGAGAAAAGATCAGTTTTAGAAAGAGATTTGAAGAAAAGAAAGGAATTCAGATTTTTAAAAGAAAAGGAAAGAGAGGAAGAAAACAGAAAAAGAAATAGAAAAGAGAACA